CTTGGAGACGACATGCCCCAATGTCGGCCCACGCCTCGGGTCGTTTCGCACATCAAAAAAGGACTCCTTAAGATACTGCAGCATACTAACCGACTTGTCCCTCGAAATCGACCAAATGATGAATACCTACTGCTCACTCACTTTGTTTGACTCCTTCTTGCCGAATATCATATGCGAGATGTATTTGTGGATCACGGCATGAGCTACATTGGAGAGTAGGCCCGAAGAAGCCCCGGCTCTCTTGAATTTCTCGCACGGGGAGATGGTCGGCCAATACAGGTCGAATTTTCATCCCATGGGACTGTGACGTGTCCCGATGGAGGCTTTGAACTTGTAAATGTCTTGGAGCACTTTGTCGGTGACTTTGTACTCTTGCCCTTTTAGCCGAGCGGTGAGGTACTTGCCGTTGTCGTGCATGGCAACCGTGCTAAAGAACTCAAGGGTCAAGTTCCGGTAAGCATATTGCTCCATGTCCTCGAACTCCACGAGGTCGAGCAATGTGATGTATTGGCTAAGGTCGTCCTCAATGCCCAAGGTCTCGAAGTAATCCCAGTCGAGAGTACGTGGTGCCGCTAATGGTTTTCCAGCGAGCCTCTTGTAAGTCGTGACCTCATCCATTGATTGGACATCGAAGGGGACCCCGTGTTGTTGAGCAATGGACCGAGTGTCAGTTGATGGGTCAGTATCGGGGCTCGTGGAGGCCGCCGCTCGGGAAGTGGACGCTGCAGGAGCCTTTTTCTTTGATGCACCGGTTGTTCTAACCATGATTTCTTACTCGGGCAATTCGTCGACACTTGGCATGCGGTATGATGGGTTGAAAGCTTTTGAACAATTCGAACGTGTAGGACCCCGGAGTTGGCCTCCTCATGCCTCAACGATCAACCAATTCAGTGGAGGGGAAGCTAACGGTACCTTATTATGTGAAATTCGGTCGGATTAGAGAATTGCACGAGCTAGGGTTCCAGTGAATTTATTGAGAAGAACGGACTGCTGTCTGAGGAGGTGAGTTGTGACCGGAGAAAGCTGGGGTGGAGTCACCAGAGAAGCACGGCCGGAGATGTTGCTGGTGGTTGGACGGGCGGAGGTGAGCTGCTGGGTAATTTCCGACAAGTTTGTGGTGGGTATATGGTGAGCAACGGATGGATGGAGGTGTTGATGAGTAGAGATATGCCAGTGATGGGAAGGTCGGAGATGGTTGCCAGAGGATGATGGATGGTCGAGGGTGAAGTGGCCAGAGTTGGGAGGAGGTTTATCTTAAGGGTCGAGAGAGACAATGATTTTTGTGAAGATGAAGTAAACGCCAATCTGTTCTTTCTCTTCTTTCTTTTTTTAAGTATTCTAAGGGGTTAGCACCGCTAACCCCATATCGCCGCTATGCAAAAATGTACCAAACTCTCAGCTCATCGCTATGGTCCCGCTATGCCCGAAACGCCGGTTTCAAAGTCCTCATAGCGCCACTATGATCATAGCGGCGCTAGCACCTGCTGTTGCATCAATTTTGTATTTTTTTTATATATTTATTTAATATATATATATATGTATGTATATAAACTGCAAACACACGAAGCAAACGCATAATCATGTAAAGATTCCCAACACTTAAAATCGAGCAATCGTTCCATTGTCGATAATCGGTGTTAAGAATTTTTACCCACATAATTAAACAAAATAAAAATAGAAAAATGAAACTAAATGCAAAAAGAAAAAGGGAGAGATACAATCGTACAGTGCACAGTGACTAGGCCACTCACTCTAAGTTCGGTGGTATTGGTGGAGGTTTGAGGTGGCCAGGCCTCGAGCAGAGGCGAGCATCTGGTACATCAAATCGTTCGTTCCAGTAGGCCTGGAGAAGCTCTATTGAGCTCGGCTTGGGAGCGACAAATTAGTTGGGATGGCTTTCTTTCTCGACATGGTCCTTCACCTCCCTCCTCGTGTAAATTTGCACACACGCTTCCTCGGTAAGTTGTTCAATCGCCCTGAGATACGCACACTCTTCTATCAAGTTCGCCTGCGGCTCAGGCTAGCCCTCTCGAACAGAAATGAGGGTAGATTGCCCCAACAAGGTCATGCTCGCCGTCCACTTCTTCACATCAATAACGGTGCAAGTGGTAGCCATGAAGGGTCGCCCAAGGAGGATGGTGTGCTGCTTCCCAATTTCTTGCACCTTTCCCACATCGAGCACAACAAAATCCACGGGGACTATCAGTTTCCCTACTCGGACTAGCACATCCTCCACAATTCTCTCCGGCTGACGGAGTGATCGGTCAGCCAGCTGTAAGCGCATCTTGGTGGGCTTCAATTCTCCGAGCCCGAGACAGTGATAAACCGCTAGTGGCATGAGGTTAATGTCAGCTCCCAGATCAAGCATGCCGAGAGTTTCTTCTCCATTCCCGAAGGCTAAAGTGACCACAAAGCCTCCGGGGTCTTTTTCCTTCTTCGGCAAGCTATGCTGAAAAACACTTGCCGCTTCAAACACAAGAACCTCATCATCGCTCCCGAGCCTCTGTTTATTTGCTCCCAATTCCTTGAAAAATCTCGCATACTCCGGTATCTTTCTGATCACATCGGGTGGAGATAAGTCGACGTTGGCTCTAGCCAACATCGCATGCAGGTCCCGAATCATCCTACGGTCTTTCTCTTCCAAAAGCCAGCTCGGGAAAGGGATTTTTGGTTTGTACGGGTTCGGAGATTTGTGTAAGGTAGACTCGGGTGGCGGTGCAATTGGGGTCTCGACTTGTTGTTCTTTCTTCCTCGGGCCCTCGAGCTCGGGCATAATCACGGTCATCGAATTAGCATGCTCCGGCTGGCTTGCCAACTTACTTTTGTTCAACTCGATCTCGATGGTCCCGACCCGTGTGGCTAGCTGGCCCACTTGCGTCTCAAGACGCTTGATCGATGCATCTTGGTTCGTGATGAACTGAAAGATCTTGTCCAGCTTATCATCTGGATTTGACGAGTTCGATCTGGACCCTTGGGCTTGTTGTTGCGGTTGTTGTTGTTGTTGTTGGTAGTTCGGACGAGGAATGAAGTTTGGGCGGGGTGGCTGGAGAGTGTTGTTTTTGTTGGACCACGAAAAGTGTGGGTGGTTTCTCCACCTTGGATTGTAAGTGTTGGAGAAGGGGTCGTTGGGCTGTCGGCTCTGATATCCTTGAAGAGCATTGACGTCGGCTTATTGCTCTCCAAGGTCCCGATCGAATGCCGATGGGGGAATAAACAAATGGTCCTGATCGTCGGCATATTTTAGTCAGTTTTACAACAAATTGGCGCCGTTTGAGAACTATCATTATCCAGTCTTGCGGGAATAAACGAACCATCCGGTTGTTTGACCATAAAAGTAATATCTGAAATTGTCCAACTATCACGAAATCCACCATTTTTGTAAATCATATCCACCAATTGTTCATATGATATTATTCCATTAATAATAAATGAACAATCCTGACGAGCCAAATAATTCAAAAAATTTGCTAACTCACTCTGAGGAATTTTCCAGTACACATTAACAAAGTAGGGACCGATAGACGCCATTTATAACCTGTTGCACAAAAAAAAAAATCTATTTTACAAATTACAAAAACATGAAAACGGGGCTAATCAAACAGTCGAGAAAAATTCAATTATTATTTTTCCAATCTAAAATTAAAACTCATTTAATTTCCAACAACATATAATTAATCATATTTTTACTTCGACTAAAAAACAATAGCAAATACCCTAATCACCACAATCCAACAATAATCCAACAATATTCCCACAATAATCCAACAATAATCCAACAATAACCCAACAATAATCCAACAATAATCCAACAATAACATCAAATTCATAAACAATTCGGATAAATATTCAACATACAACAAAAACCCTAATCACCACCAATACCCTAATTAATCACCATAATCCAACAATAACATCAAATTCATAAACAATTCGGATAAATATGCAACATACAACAAAAACTCATCATACAATAGCTAATTAATCACTTAATACAACTATTAAACCAACATTCAAGATTTCCTAAACAATACTCAATTAACTAAATATATCTATTAAACATTCATTATAAACAACAAAAAAATGATATTACATTACATTAAAATAACAACTAACCTCTCTCCGACGATTGGTTGAAAATTTGTTTTGGTTTTTTTTTTTTTTAAATTGAGCTAGATTGTTCACAAAATGGAACAAAAACCCTTTTCTGCAGATAACAAACGCAGTTGTGTGGTTGGGGGAGGATCTTTCAGCTTTTTATATCAACCAAAAAACGGATTCTCGAAATCCGTTTTTATTATTATTTTTTTAATAAAAAACAATTTTTAAAAACGTTTTGAATTCGACTGTTTTCTTTTAAATTCGACAGTTTGCTTTTATTAAAAAAATAAAAATAAAAAAACGGATGTTGAAATTCCATTTTTTCTAATAAAAATTTAATTAGAAAAACAGATTCGAAAATCCGTTCGTTTTATAGTTGTCCACAACTTTTTTTTTATTTTTTGCCACAATGTTTTTTAAAAAAAAAAATAAAAAATAACCCACCCTCAATTTGTCCCTCAATTCAATTCCATCTCATATTCATATAAAATAAAGATTCTTTTGTCTACTATTATTTCCACTAATACAAGTCTTTATCCAATTTCAATTATAAATTATATTTTATACCACCATACATATCAAAAGAGTATATATTTAATATTTTATGGGAATCATTAGATAAATGATGTGCAAATTTCTAAATTCATTTTGACAGAACTCATCGAAGATTTTTATTTTGAATTGCCAAGTATAGTATTGAAGAGCAAATTCTGGAAAATTATGCTATTTTCAAGTTTTTAAAATATCGGATGCCTCTGAACACACTCGACTTTGGGTTTTCAGCATTCAAGGTCACAATATGAGTTTACAAATTCACAAGTTATATCATACAACAGCATGCGTTGAATGAGCAGTAGTGTTGAGTCAAATTGCAGCTACCAAGCTGAATGTTTTTATGTGCTTCAATACTCTTGCTCCAAGAAAGCCCTCCACCCGTCAACAGTGGCCGCATTGTCCGGACTGACATCCGGAAGGACACGCGTCCGCTCGAGGGTTTCAAGAACCTCCTCGCACTCGCCCAAAAGAAGAGCAGCCCGGCACATGCTCTCTTCCCCTCCTCTCACGGCCTTGCTTATCACTCTTGCCATGTTTGTGAGGCAAGCTGCCACTATGTCAGATATCACTATCTCCACTTTATCAAACAGCCCATCATCATTATCCCCCTCCAACATGATTGTTAGTGTCTGGGTTATCCTGTACATTGAGTTTGCAGCTATGACCTTGGCTGGCCAGTTGAGGGGGTCGCTTCTCAAGAATCTGTTTGAAGGCTCCTCCACGAAATGCCTGACGGTCTTCTCGGCACTGCTGGACAGCCTCGTCAGAGCTCCCGGTCTCCTCCGCAGATCCTCGCCCTGCCACTTCCGGTATAGCTCTAGCCTCACCCACACGGTTTCGGCCGCGTTCCTTACACCCGTCAGCTTCCCATTCGGGTCGAGGGCTTTCTCTATTATCCTGGTGAAGTACAGGCCTTGGCCTACGGCACCCAGTAGTCGACTAGCGGGCCCACTGTCCGCGAGCGAAATGGCGATGCTCTTCAGGGTGACCAGCGGCAGGGCCCAGCAGTTGGGCGGCTCTTGCGAGCTCAGGCTACGGAATTCCGCACCTCTGTCAAACTCCCACACGCCGTCAAAGCCATGGGACTTTCCGAGCAGCTCGATAAGCCTCTTGAACTTCCTCCTCTTTCCCGTCTCGATCA